TTGATTTTTTTCTTTTTGTATTATTCTTAAATGGACTCAGAAGGAAATGTCCTAAGCCAAGTGCTTTGGGCATGCCCGTAAGAATCGCATTGGTTTCTGTGGTTTGTAGGAAAAGTGTCAATTAGATATATGAGGTCTAAGATGTTTAATTAAAAGCATTCTTGTTGCTTTATAGCTGTGCCTCCTAGGATATACAAAACAAATTCTCTAAATACAGGCTTCCAAGAGACAAGTAAGATAGTTTTACTATTGTTGCTAATGAAGTTCTAACAATTAAATTTATAGCTCACTTATGGCATCCATCATTAAAGGGGTTTATCTTCATAAAGGGGTGGAAATGATGTCTTAACAGCTTCTGTCAAGAATCATCGCAAAAACATTGACAGTATCTGCCGTTAATTCATTTCTATTAAATTACAGGCTAAAGGCATTGTGCTCAGCAAGGCAATTAAAATCCATAAGAGAACGATAATGAAAAAGGAGATCATAGATATCAGAGCAGATGTGGAGGTGCAAGACAGTGTTTCATCAAAAGCAACTCTAAGGGTACCCATTTTCCCCAGAACTCCCCAGAATAACTGCAATTTTTCCATCATTCTGCTCACTGTTTGTTTTATTTTTCCAAATTTGCTTACAACATGTTTATTCACTCTTAACTGTGAAAATAATGTATGCTTATTCTTTCCAAAGTCAGAGTACAAAATAACAGATAACCCCCCCACTTATTTTATCTTTTATAGTAAATAATTTAAATATTTCACCCCTCTATTTTATTCTGCATTCTTTAGTTTATCTCAGGCTCTCTCTGTTCCGCTCTCCAGAGACCTCCCCACAACCTTGGGTTCTCAGCCCAGATTGCTTTTGCGGGTTCAGTTGAGCCCCAGAGGGGATCGTTCCTGCTGCAGGTGACGCCTTTAAACCGGACTGCCTGCACCACTCGCTCCCTCTTGTGGCTCTAGCTGGTCACTGCATACCTATCGCTGGCTTCTTCGGGACGCCGGACCCCCGAGAGAGCTGATTCCGCCAGGAACAGCTCTAACTGACTCATAGGTCAGCCACAGCCCTACCCTCTAACTCCACAGACGCTCCCACGAAGCAGTTTGGATCGCCTAATAATAAATGTGAGGACTCCTTGAGTCCCACTGTTCCACATATTTCTCAGGCTCTGCCATGTAGGAGGATTTCCAAAAAAGCACCAGGATTGGCACATGCGCGTGCCTGTGTGTGTGAATGCATAGGGGTGTGTGTGTGTGTGTGTGTGGTGCATATATGTTTGTGTGTGTTGTTTGCAAGTATTGCTGGGAGGGAAGAGAAGGAGGGTTGACGGAGGCTGCTCCATGGCTTCCCAGCACTCCTGGGAGAAATTTTAAAGTCATTTACTTAACAAATATTAGGAACTCTGAATGTGACAGCACCGGAATGAAAGCATGGAGCAGATATGTTCCTGTCACCGAGGTGCTCCTTTACAGTGAATGAGAGAAGCGCTTTATAGGCATGCTGGTTTAAGAACAAGCCCAGAACCACAGGGCAGCAGAAGATCCCAGCTGAGCTCCAGACCCTCCCCCAAGCTCCCCCACGGGCTGGTCGCCTTGCCTCCTGGAGTCTCACTTTACTCATCCATACCATGGGACCAAGAATTTCCAGCCTCAGCTGTCCTCACTGATTGTTAAGAGGGTCGCCTGCGCTGTGAAGGCATCTAAAACCCCAGTAAATGTAAGCCTAGCTACTAGCATTTTCAAAATAATAATAATAATATTGTCAACTTAATATTTTGAAGAGACTTACAAAAACTGTATCATCTCAAAGTATCTTTTCGACAGCTATGCTTGAAATCCTTACCTGATAAGTGACACTTAAAAGGGTCTTCCTTGCTGGGATGAGGCATTGTGGCCTGGCGGGTAGAATGTCAGTCTCCAGGAGCTGGTCTGTGGTGTTCGTGCTCCAGCCAGCTGCAGGGTAGTGGTTCCTGAGCACCGTGCTCACTTAGTGGCTCCCGCACCAAGACCACTGAGCCTCTCCCATGTCTTTCCCCAAGGGACTTTTGAAGCGCCCCTTTGGGCTGGGTCTGCTCTGGATCTGGAAGGGGATGCTGCTGCTGCTATGATGGATGGCCCTTATCTCGGTTTGCAGCACAGGCTGGTGTTGCCAGACCCATATCTAAGAGCAGTGGCTACTTCTATGAACACATGGTTTTATCTGCTAGCGGCTACTCAGGCACAAAACTAATGGCCCCAGAAGGAGCCCTCAGACAATAAAAGACGATATGTGAGTGGATAGATGCACCAACTTCTTCACCCCGGGGGGCTGGATAACTGAGGGGTGTTCTAGAGTGTTGCCCATTTTCCCAGGACCATTAAGCTCCAGTGTGGCACAAGGTCTGCTGCTTGGTACACACCCTTCATTGACTTCCTACACTTCCTATCTCTCCTGCTGTTTCCTGAGATCCATCTGGAAATAAGCTACTTGTATCAAATCTTTGTGTCAGGGACCAATTCAAGAAGAACCTAGCCTAAGACAGTTGGTGTGGAAACTGGTCCTGAGGAGTAGTCCCTCAGCGCAGGATTCTGGAACTGGATCCCTCACCTGCTCAAGGGGAACAAGACCCTATGCAAGCGTTAAGTGGCATTTTGAAAGATTCTGAGTATTTCCATCTTACTCGTTCGCAGATTGATTCCTATGAGAGTCTCATCTGCAGTGAGTTGAGAGGGCATTTGCCGCAAGGAGGTACATCTGCTTATACGAGAGTGCTGGCACTTTAGAGGTACCGTGGGGAAAGCCTAGTTTATGAGTTGTTCTTAGCTACAGTTGAAACCCCCAAAGAAGGAAGTAACAGGATCAGATCAGCTGATCATTAACTTAGAATACAGTCTAAAGGCCAGAAGGCTTTGTGGCAATAGTTAACGAACCTCATCTCCTGCACGTGGAAGGCAGGTCATGAAGAAAGTCTGGTCAGGGTCCTGGCTAGCTTTCAGTGTTGGAGTAATGAAGGAAGTTAAATTCATAGCCCTAGCAGGTCTCTCATGGGAAAGGGGAGGCCTTGATATGAAAGGGAACTGCCAATATCCAAGACAGAGAACCTAGGGTGATGTGCCTTAGAATGATGATTGTTGCTCTTACATTCCCAAGAACCTCTAAGCTAGTAGAAATAGCCCTCTCCCACCTGCTAAAGAAGAGCAGCCTCTTCTTACCCCTGGGCCGGGTGCCTCACAAGACAGTGTTTGCTGTCCTGAAGATCTGGTCTTGCCTTTCTTTTTTGCTGTTATACTAATAATCATGGCCAAGTGACAGTAAGACTTGGAAGTATTGTACCAATACCTCCACGGACGGTTCAGGTCTCCTGCCCAGCAATATGGCACACAGATGCAAAATAAAGACAAAGAGAGAAAGTTCTGCAGATGAGGAGCTCTGGGATGGCCAATGTTCTCTGTGGAGCAAAAGGCCACTAGTCCAAAAGCTCATGGCTTTTATTGGTATCAATCAAGGAGGAGGGTGGGGTTTGTGAGAGAGTGCTTGGGAAAAAACTTTGCAGGCATTGGCTGTAATGAGGAACAGAGCAATTTTGTACCAGGAACAAAGGCCTCCAATTAGCAATGCAAAATATAGCTTGATGTATGCAAGGCTGGCACCTTTACTGCCAGGAAGGTATAATTCTTTCTGAGTTTTATGACCTCAGCTGAGATGTTATCTCATGTCTTGGCCCTGGAATCTCATAGGTTCTTGCTTGAGTCCCCATTCCAGCCATCAGTGTTGGGAGGAGGGGAACAATTCTCACCCAGACTTGATCACATTCTTTTTAGCCAATTAAGGAAACATCTGGTTCAAGTTCTGCATATCTCAGTAAATAGCATTGAAGAAGAGGTCAAGGAAAGATGGAAGCAAGGGTCCTTGTTTCTCAGAAGTGCACAGCTTGGTGGTCTCCCATAGTGGTCTCCCTGCTATAAGAAAGAGCATTCACCAGAACAGCCGTAGGACCTGGCTAATGAGTACAAGCAGGAACTGAGACACATGGATTGGAATGGATCTTGAGAGTATTGAGCAGACAACAGTTGAATAAGGCAGAGTTCATTGAAATAGGGACCCGTCTCATGATTCAGGGTTAATATGCTAGTGAGGGTATGGGAGAATCTGCTTGCCAGGGAGAGCTCAGCAGTGGCTCAGCAGTGGGTCTAGGCCAAGATTGCTGCTGGGACCTGCTGCATTTTAACTGGGTTCATAGTAAATGAAATGATGTTAGCCTGGAATACCAAAGGCTAACTGGAGACACTGAACCAGCAGAGGCAAGGTGGAAGTAACTGTCATAACAAGAAGCAAAGCAGAAGGATACCAAGGGGGCTTGATGTACAGGGATCCCTGCCAATGGCTGGTGGGCTAAGGTATTCTGGAAGGTGAGACCTTGGGCAGATGATAAGGGTATTGTTGGACCTATATACCCCCAAAATTAGGTGTATGTGAACAGAAGCCTGGTGTCAACTGTAAGGACAAAAACTCCTGGTCTCAAATCCAACTTGTAGGTGTGAATTGAACCTAGGTCCAGAGCTCATTAATTTGAAGAGGAGGCCAGATTCCTTTGAAGAAATATATATGCCTCCATTAAGTAGAGTCTGACAAAAAAAGTGGATACACACTTCAGGAAAAGAAAAACTTGTATAAGGTGCACTTCCTCCTGATTTAATACCTGCAGGCTTTTATCTACTGGAGACCCTAGAGGATGTCATATATCACAGAAAACCCACTACACTGCTAGGCATTAGAGAAGAAATTGAAAATGCACATGTAGCAATCTCAATGACCAAGATAACCAGCAGTTTGCAGTACTAATAAAATGTCTGGAAGCTAATGGCCACCACTTTGAGCATCCCTTGTAATTGTAGAGGCCAAAGGTAACTTGTATTCATCTTATGATAGCTCAACAAATTTAGTATTAAAATATTTATACAACTTTTTCTTTTCCTGAAGTGAATACATTTTTTTGCAGACTCTGTGTATATGTAGTAGGTCTTCCCCCAACCTCTTCCTCACAAGGTTCCCTTAGTTATTGACCTCAGTAATTCCACACTGGCGAAAAGGGATTACCTAGATCTTTGGGGGGCTGTTAGAAGTAGGATCTGAGTTGATATTGATTGACAGTGAACCCAAGACACCCTCATAGTCCCCTGTTAGTGTGGAGCACAAAGAACCATGAAAAAGGGCCCAAGTCAGTGTCAAAATAAGGCAATATTTCTGTGAACCACAATGTAGTCATTCTCCCATTCTAACAGTGTGTTGGTAGACCAGATCTCCAAAAGGAAGGAGAAAAAGGAACGGAAAAGAACAGGGCCTTATTTATATATTTGTATTTGCTGGGTTTTATGTTGTACATTCTTCCCCCCTTGGCCAGTTCAAGCCACCAAGACATTATTGAACATGAAGTAGAGAAAAGATGCCTCATTCGCTGAGTGCACAAAGAGGATGCATATATTGACTCACTAGAAGAACTTGCGTGGGAGTTTGTTAGGAATGCGAGACCACTCACCCCAGACTTACTAAAAGGGAATCTGTCCTGTAACAAGATCACGGGGACTCATGCACCCAGGAAGCGTTGCTCCAGACCATCTAGTACCTGTCAGGCCTGAGACCCTCTAGTCTCTCATGTCTGAAGGTTCCGTAGCAGAAAATATTCCTATCTGAAAATAAACGAGCCTCTGTCTCTCCAACAAGCTCCATCGCGGCAATGGCCGATAGCGGGAACAGGCCGTGTCTTCGTCACTTTTCTCCTCGCTGGGACAAAATGCCCAACACTGCAACTTCAAGGAGGAGAGGCTCACTTTGGTTTGCTTTTTAGTCTGAAATCAGCTGGCTGCAGGGTGGGAGTCGTGGTGGAAGGGCCTGGGCAGAGGACAGCTGCTCAGGGCGTGGCAGCAAGAGGAGGAGTGAAGGGGCGGGGAGGGAGATGTAGTCTTCCAAGTCATGGCTCCAGTAACCGCCTTTTCTGACCAGGCCCCGCCTCCCAACATCACATTTTAGCTGTAAAAACCTTGTAATTCAATCGCTTTTCCAGAGTCCTGCCTGTGATCATAGGAGGCTTTGAGAGGACATGTAAATTCAGTCTATAACAACTGTCACTGTTATCATCCTCAAGCAGCACTGATTAGATACCCACTTACCCATGGGCCATGTTTGAATAATAAACAGCACATACTGAGCTGACAGTGCCTTGCTGTAGCTGACCCCAGCTTGTCTCAACCTCTGAGAGGAGTCTACAGCCTCCTTGCTCTTGCCTGCAGTATTAATCACCTTCCTCGGCAATCCCACTTTCCCTGACTCTGTACTTCGCTTTCTCATCAGCCGGTTCTTTCCTGTTCTGCCCCCGCATCTTTGTCCATTTACTCAAAGGTTTCTAGTGTGGTCAGAACAGCCAAGGACAATAATGCTTCAACCGGCAGGAAACAGTCTTCACACTCTGAGGATTTCCTATTATGTGTTATACTGCATTTTCCAGAAACATAGTTGCATCTAAAAATAGAAACTGCCTGGATTTACCTTCCTCTCAACACAATGACTCCAGGGCTACTGTGGCTGGCCTTGAATGAGGGCCAGACATTTTGAAATACAAAGACTCTATCAAGGGAGGTAAAGGAAGTTGCTTCCTCGGGACTTCCAAGTGAGGATAGGCAGCTATTTACCTATTCCCTATTCTTTTGTTATTGTGTTGGGTTTTGCCAGTGAAACTGGGTAAAAGGAAGGAAAGCAAGGAAGAGAGGAGCCAGTGGACCAAAAGGAAGAGTGAAGGGGGTGGGAAGATCAGGAGGTGGGGGTGGGGACTCGGTACGGAGGATGACTCTGAGGAAGAGGGAAAGGAGCAGTGAGCTGTTGGAGGAGGAAGGATGACCTGGAGAACAAAGAGAGAAGAAGCAAGGTGACATGATTTTCAGCAGTCTACACAGCTGGAATGACCAGAGCTTCACAGCTGGCCCATGGTTTCCTGAAATGGAAAATGAGAAGAGCTGTATCAATGTCGATGCCAGGCTTTACAGTTGTTTATTTTCTTCTTCAGAACCCCCTAAGTAGCATACTTGCTTCGGGGAAGAGCAACCCTTACCTGCAGCCTCATCCTCTTCTGCGTGCAGGGGAGTGGAGGAGGTGAGAAGAGTATCTTCAGAACTAGGCAGGACGGAGGTGTCTGTGCCCTCAGCCTGGGAACAGAGAAATAAACTGCAATCAACGGTAGAAGGCCGTTTGAGAAGAAGTACGCTCCTAGACAGAGACTTGGATGGGATATTGGCAGAGGAGAACCAAAAGACAGGTTGGGGATTTTCAACATTTTTGATGGGCTAATATCTGGGGGGAAGACAGAAATGATGAGAAGCCAGGATTTTAAAATTGAATGCTCCTGAGCCAGATGGCTCTCGTGATTCAGTCATGCAGCCCCCGACTCTAATCTCAGCTCTTCCTGTCACCAGCTCAGAGACCTAGAAGTACTTGCTTCACCTCTCTAAGCCTCTGGTTCCCTACCTGTGAAATACTAACAGCAATGCTCATTTCATAAGGTGGTTCTGAGGAGTCCATGAGGTGTGAAAGAAAAGCTCTACTGCAGTACATTCTGCTCAGGAATCTGTGGGCAGAGTCAAGATTCAGGAGATAGCTGGGTGTGGAGGCGCATGCCTACAGCCCCAGAACTCGGGAGGCTGAGGAGCTTGAGGCCAGCATGGGCTACACAGTGGATTCAAGGCCACCACCTAAACTACATAGGGAGATCCCATCTCAAAAAAAAAAAAAAAAAAAATTCAAGAGGTATGAAGACGACAAGAAAAGAGAGGTTTAGGGAGCGGAAGTAGAAAGAGAGTTCAGATCAGACCTGGAGTTAAAGATGAAAAAAGTGCTGGAACTCTAAGGATCTAGTTAGGTAAGCAGAGGAAAAATAGTGGCAGAGGGTTTTGTGCTCAGGGCACTCAAAGAGGGTGTGTGGAAAATGTCTCCCTCTAGAAGAATTCCAGGTAATATACAAGATGGATAGAATCAGCATACCATCAGTTTGCAACATCCAGTGAAATACGTAATCAACCTAGACAAAGATCGTTATTCCAGTTATTAATTTATTGCCCCTCAGCTCCAAATCCTCCCTTCAGTACCTACTCTATTTACAATGAGCACAATGTAAGCTTTGTCAGTAGAGGGCGCTGGAGGGATACTTCAGGAGGAAGGGGGTTCTCTTCCTGGTTCCCTAGTTCTGACCTTTGTTCTTTTTTCCTGCTTCAGGGCCTCTCAATGGCAGCACGTGTGCGGGCATCTACTGTCCCAGTCATAAATTTACAATATGAAGTGCCACGGAGTCTCAGAGCCCACGCCTAGACCCAGGGACCACCCTTCTTCAGCCCTTGAGATATGGACACTGATATGGTCCAGGCCTCACCATCACAGTGACACCTCAACTTCTCCTGGGCACTGCCCTCCAGCCTCAGTGGGCCTGTGCCCTAGGACTTTGATAACCACCATCTTCTCAACACAAATGCTGCATGCCAGGCTCTCCACCTGTTGGGCATGTGTGCGTTTCACTCACCAACCTCAGCTCGCTTATACTTCTCGAGTTCTTTCCTCTTACCTGGCATCTGTGACCTAGCTCTGATGGGACAGCTCAGGGTACCGAACTCCTATTCAGTGTATTAGATGCTCACCTCCCCAACAAAGTCAGAACTCTAGCCTTGGAGAGAACCCCCTTTCAGTTATTTTCTCATGGACACTCTCCAATTTGGGTACTTTTTCGAGGTCTTTATAATTTTCAGTTACTCTTCTATCTAATGCTAATAATTATCTATATTTAACTTCTGATATTTAAATGACTGTGTGGTTTCTGTTTTCTGAGTGGAGCCAGATGACCTAATCGTGAATGGCTGCTAACCTCACAGAGATAGAGCAGAATTACATGGTCTTGTTGGAGATTCACAACATAACCTTTCAAGTGTTCTTGACAAAACATCAACCCTGAATCTGATCAAGATTTAGATCTAATTGCAATTGCAAGAAACACACGGAGCACAGGAACATGTTAAATGATACCATAAGATGTTATCAACACAATCCAGGCTGTGGGAAACTCCATAGGAAAAACAACCAGAATTCTTCACTAAATAAGAAGGAACCTATAAATAAAAAGCAGCTTAAAGGGCATATTAACCGATTAAAATTTATGGACTTTATTTGCATTCTGGTTCAAACAAATTGTTTAAAAAAAGATTTATGAGGCAGGAGAGGATATTTAAGCACTGCCTGTATATTTGATAGTGTTCAGGTAATTCTTTTTAAAATTGTGAGAGTTAATGCAGGAAATATATATTAGTAAAATATTAATAAATGAAATAATGTGATATTGGAGATCCTTCAAAAAAATCTTAGAAATTTCTAGTCCTGGCCATGAATAGAAAATACTGAAGTTAGATGATGAGTACATGAATTCATCTTTAAAAAAATTTTTAATGCTCCTATGAGTTGAAAAGAGAAAAGGCAACCTAAACTTAAAAACAAGCAGTATAAATAGGCAATCCATGAAATAAATTTACATGACTAAAACACATGTGTAAAAGTGCTCAACCTCGGGAGTAATGAAGAAAGTCCAATTTTAAAAAACAATGAAAGATCAATAAGAATATAGATAAATGTTTATTGCCACTGGATCTATTTGGCAGAATTTTACAGAATAAGATATACATTACTACAAACCTCAGAGTTTTGTTTCTGGATCTCTATTTTACATAAGTTGTCAAATAAGTGAAAAAATATGAGTTCCTCATGAGGAACTCCAGAACAAAGTGTTCAGTAGAAAAGCACATTACAGTGTGATGGGATCCTTTTGATCCTATTTCTGTAAAAACAAAAAACTAAAACAATTAGAACAAGCCTCAGTGTGCTCGCTTCGGCAGCACATATACTAACACTGGAATGATACAAAGAAGGCTAACATCGCCCCTGTGCAAGGATGACATGCAAATTCGTGAAGTGTTCCATATTTTTAAAAGAGATCAAAGAGGATATCAGAAAATGGAAAGATATTATTTCCTCATGGATTGGAAGAACTAACACTGTGAAAATGGCCATACTCCCAAAATTATTGTGCAGATTCAAAGCAATCCCAATTAAAATACCATTAGTATACCTCACAGATCTAGAGAAAACATTCCTAAACATTCCATTCATCTGGAACCAGAAGAGGCCTAGAATAGCAAAAGCGACCTTGGGAAACAAAGGAAAGGCAGGAGGCATCATAATTCCTGACTTAAAATTATATTACAAATCCACTGTGATAAAATCAGCATGGTACTGGAACAAAAACAGACCTGAAGATCAATGGAACAGATTAGAAGATACAGATACAACTACAAACACACTCAGCCACCTTATCTTTGAGAAAGGGGCCAAACATGTTCACTGGAAAGAAGACAGCCTCTTTAATAAATGGTGCTGGAAGAACTGGCTTTCCACATGCCGAAGACGAAAGCTACACCCATGTCTTTCACCATGCACTAAATTAAAGTCAAAATGGACCAAAGTTCTAAATATTAAGACTAAATTTATTGGAAGAGAAAGTAGGCAAAAATCTTGACAACATAGGGGTAGGCAGAAGTTCATGAACAAAAACCAAACTGCATGGGAAATACTTCAAAGAATCAACAACTGGGATCTCATCTTATTGAAAAGTTTTTGCACATCAAAAGAAATCACCAATAAAGTAAAAAGAAAACCCACAAATTGGAAAAAAATTTTTAGCCAACTGCCCCTCAGACAAAGGACTTCTATTTTGGACATATAAAGAGTTAAAAAAAAAAAAAAGCCG